CTGGCGCATAGCGGACATTGAGAGCGCAATATCATACACGAGTAGATGTAAAGGGACATAAGATATATGCTTCGAGCTGAATCAATGTCGCACGATAAGGAATGAAAGAGGTAAAATTTCCTAATAGTTTCCGTAGCCTCTCGAAGATAAGTACAGACGTCTCCGTCCCGATCCGCAAGACTCTACTAAACCTGCTTATGACTCGTAGCACCTATGAACCTAGAGCTCTGATACCAACTTGACACTACCCAAAATCCCTCCGAAGGAGTCGTGATGGCACCTAGTCTCTAAGACTAGGTAAGCCTAACATTAACAGAAATAACGACAATATTTACTAACTTCGAACAATTCCGAAATAAAAATCTCTAAACAATTTATAATCCCAAAACTGGTAGTACAAGTAATAAGCCTTTCTAGGAGTAGTTGTACAAAATGAATACATCACTGTTCCAGAATAAAAGTAAATAATGAAAATAAGTACAATAGAAGGTGACTCCGAGACTTGCGAACGTAGCAACAGGTTTACCATGAGTCTCCACAGCAACAACCCGCATAACTACTAATGATCAAATACCTGGATCTGAACAAAAATGTACAGAAGTGTAGTATGAGCACACCACACCGATGCCCAGTAAGTATCAAAACTAACCTCGGTGGAGTAGTGACGAGGAACAGTCAAGACACCTACTGGTCTAATAAGCTGAACAAGATATGATAATAAACTAACAAGGTAAAAATAACAAAGTAACGCCAATAGCAGGAAGAAATCAAGTTACAAACAGTAGAGACGATAAGGGGAAAAACACGAATGGTACCGAGAAGTAACCAAGTAAATTAACACCAACATAGCTGAGATACAGACAAGTAAAATGTGCTTAAATAAGGAAAGTAATGTTAACTCAACCAATCGCATCATTCCTATTACACAGTTCCGACCATCCCAATCCTCGAAGTCTCATATCACAATCACAACTTCTGAACCTTTAACACACATGGCACCTTGTGCCCACATATTCCCCTTTCACTCTGCTGCACGTCAAAGATCCACGTGCTACTCGGTACATAATATCCGTGACAAATGCTAATTAAGATGTTCAAGAAGTTCCATTTATATATATCATAAAGTAAATTTACAGTTTCTAGACCAAATAGGAAAACCAACGAGAAAGATGAAGTTATTTCTAGAAATCATTTGAGTAAAGAAAATAACATTTTTCGAATAGAAATACAACATCAGATAAGCTATCTCCTTTAATATAGGATTCATTAAATTAAAACTTACAGAAATTCTTTTTTAAGAAAAATATAACCTCAGACAGGTTAAGGAGATTTAGTTGAGAAACCAGTTGAAATAAAATATATCAATTAACAACTCGATTACAAGAATTTAATTCAATAACTCGATTACAAGAATTTCTACCACCAAGAGTATGATTACACGACAACAAGAGAATCACGTAAAAATTAAAGGAATACAACAGCCTTTATAAAAATAACAAGACATGTAAGGCACGTGACAACTACACAGGTAATCACAATAATTTAGACAAGTAGCATATATGCACAGAGTCATAGAGGAACTCACAATTAAGAAGTAACAAAACAACAAGAAAGGCAATAACTTCAACTAAAGCAAATAAGGCCAAACAACGAGCAAGAGATAAATAAATACTAACAACATCATATAGAGCATGTAAGTGTAGCCTAACAACAAGATACCACATATTATGACAATTTGATCAAAGGCATGGAAAAAGACTAGACAATCTAACCGGTCAACACCACATATAAACTGTGAACCCACTCGTCACCTTGCGTACACAACTTTCACATATCGAGATAGCACAATTGACTCAATTCCTAAGTGGTGGTTTCCCCACGCAAGGTTAGGCAAGATACTTACCTCAATTCGGCCAATTCAATACTCAATTTAGCTTTTTCTTTACCAATTCATCGATGCTTGGCTCAATCTAGCCAAAAACGACATAAATACATCAAACAATGCAAGAGAAAATAATTTCAATTAACAAAGCTATGATTCTTATACAATTTGCAAAAAGTCAACTCCCCGAGCCCGTACCTTGGAACCCGACAAAATTTACAAAACCCGAACACCCATTCCGATACGAGTCCAACCAAACAAAAAATATCAAATTTCGATACCAATTCCTCCTTCAAATCATCAATTTTCATTTTTGAAAGATTTTACAATTTTTCTTAAATTTTCCTTTAGATTCTCATGAATTTGATGTTAAATCTAAGATATAATCACAAAATATGGTTGAAAATTGATTAGAGACACTTACCCAATGATTTGGTACAAAAATCTTCTTTCAAAATTGCCCACTCTCGGACCTAGGGTGCAAATTATGGAAAAATGAAGCTAAGATTCGGGATGCCAGCTTAGTAGGCTGCAGATGTTGTATTTGCGACACTGGTTCGCAAATGCGAACTCGTAAATGCGAAGAATCCTTCGCAAAAGTGAACTCGCAAATGCGAAGAATCCTTCGAAAAAGCGAAGCCTGGACTATCCTATCTCCATCGCAATTGCGACAAGACACTTCGCAAATGCGAAGTAGGGCCTTCGCAAAAGCGGCCCAGATGTGCGCAAATGCAAACTTCCCCTGCCCAGCCCATCTTCGCAAATGCGAGAATGATCTCGCAAATGTGATGAGATCCTCGCAAATGCGAGAACAAAATCACCAGCAGAGCTGAACCTCTTTCAAACACTCCGAAATGCGTACAAAACTCATCTGAGCCTTCGCGACTCTAAGACAAACACTCTCACAAGTCTGAACACGTAACACGACCTCGCTCGCGCGATCAGAACAACAAAATAACCACTAAAATCACGAATCAGACGCCAAAACACATTAAAATCACATTGAATCTTCAAGAACCTTTAGAGTCGCAACCGAGTGTCCGAACCATATCAAATCAACTCCAAATGACACCAAATTTTGCAGACAAGTCCCAAATGACAAGACAGAGCTGTTCCAACTCTCGGAATTGTATTCCGACTCCGATATCATAAAAGTCAACTACCATTTTTCCAAAACTTACACTTTCCAATTTTCGCCAAAATTCTTCAAATTACCCTACGCACCTCCAAATCCAAATCCGGACGTACGCCTAAGTCCAAAATCACCACCCGAGCCTATCGGAACCATCGAAACCCCAATCCAAGGTCAAATACTCGAAAGTCAAATCTTGGTCAATTCTTTTAACTTCAAAATTCTCAAATGAAAGTCACTTCTAAAAATCTTTTCCGAACTTCTCAAAACCCGAACCGATGATGCACGCAAATCATAATTTACTGTGTGAAGCTACTCGTGACCTCAAACTGCCGAACCGGATGCAATTTCTCAAAACGACCAGTCAAGTCGTTACATATATAATCTAGCAAGGAGATATTTACTACAATGAAGAACTACTATATTATGGGAAAAAATATTTATTACAATTGTATTATATGGAAAGAAGATATTTTACAAAAGAGAAAGAAATGCTCAAGTTTAAATTCTTTCATAAGGCAAATATAAAAGATTCAAGCCCGACTTTTACTTCAGGAGAGAGTATCAAGAATGCCTAGAAGTCTCAAGATCACAAAAGAGTATAAATTAAAAGTTATCAAACTGATCAAGAGAAGGCAATTAAATATATTCGTGTCATAGATACACCAAAATTACTAGAGAAAGTTATTTTTTCTACGCTAATTTTCTTATTTTGATCTTTGATTTGATCATTAAGTTTAGTGTTTATGTTTTTGAGATTTTTTCAAGGCCATTCATTGAAGCAACAGATGGACACAATGATGCAGTCTCTTGCATAGTAAAGAATCCACATCACTTGAAAGAAGTATTTTGAGGTTCCGTGGATGGTGGTATGATTATGTTCTAAATGCAATACACTAATACAAAATAGTGAATAATATAATATAAAAAAATAAAAAATAAAAATATTATTTGATTATGATTTGCTTCCTTTAATTTCATATAGACTCTTTTATAAGATATATTATATTGAAAATCAAAATGGAAGTTAAATTTTTATTTTTCAAAGTAATGTAATCTAATATGCTCAAATAACATATATCACACTTTAAAATAATTAGTATTTTCTAATACGGTTCGCGCATCGCGCGAGCTCCAATACTTTTTTGGTGAAAGAGAGATATTCTTATTAATCACCAACCCAAAATTCAAATGTACAGACTGTTCTCCTTGTAGATCCTACTCCTCACTTCAAAGCTATTCTATTACATCAATTTTCTATTCTTCTATTTCTATTCTATTTACATTAGCTTGTGTATCCATGCTTTTTGTCTTTGTGATGTTGCCTTCTTTCCCAGGATTTCCTGCATTACCAGCGAGCTCCAATACTAGTTTTTTATAATTTATATTTTGTCCATCATCCATATGCCAATTGTATTAAGTTCAGTACCCTACCCATTTGATATTATCTCATATATTCAATAGTAATTACTAAGTTATTGTCAGAATACTTTCTATTTGGACATAGTTTTACTATTGCTACTTTCATCGGCCATATTAATATCTCTGTTGCATTTTCTTAATAATAATTTCATTACTTAAATACTATATTTGAATGATTACAGTGAGAATGAGGAACTTTTCAGACAATTTAGTATGAGTACTTTATTTGGATATTAATTTTTTTTTTAAAAAAATATCTCAACATATAAGCTCAAAATTGAAAATCCAAAATATCCACACCGACCAATCCGAAACAAAACTTAAAAAATTCAATCCAATCCGAGCTTATTTAGATTTTGAATTTGGATTGTCATTTCTTCAGTCCGAAAATCGAATATCCAAACCAAAATTTTCATCTCCAATCCGAATTGCCCAAACGCCTACCCCTACTTAACATACCATCAAATTATCCAAGAAAATAGAAAGTAAAAAAGGAAAAGGAAGCAACAAAGGGATATGTAACCTCGGGGCGGAACTATAATGTTACTAATAGGTTCAGACGAATTCAGTAGCAACAAAGAAGAGTCGTTAAATATGTATAAATATTTAATTGCAAACTCAATAGTAACTAAAATGAGCTATGAGTTCTATGACAAGTTCAGAACCCATAAATTTTAATTTTTGGCTCTGCCGCTGTCAGACTAGCCTATGATTTACAGCAGGGAAAGTAGAGAAGTCTTTAGAGCAGAAAAAACAGCAAACCAGCCTTGCTGAGAAGGATGAATGACATCCCAAAAGAATGAAACCTCTGGATTTCGACATAAGACGTAATTTTTCCTCATTCCCTTCTTGTCTCCACATGAATATTCACTGCTCGTCCCCATGCAACATGGTTTCAGTGGATTCTCAAAGTTTGAATTTCCTAACATATTATAGAATTGAATCATATACATGTCATGATATGGGAAGAAAAAGAAAAAAAGAGAGATTATGGGCCAAATCGAGTGCCAAATCAATAAATAAAAATAATCAAATACATTATATTATAGAATTGATAAATAGTGCATAATTAAGGTGCAAAATGCAGGGTTTATAATTTTATCTACGATCACTAATTTTTTTTCACTATAAGAGTAAGTTAGTCGTGAAACTGTTTTTTGTCATATTAAATTAAGTGAACTATGTGTGATCATTGTTTAGAAATTACAAATGACTGGAAGATTAAATTTTTGTGTATCGGGTTATGACACATCACTCACCTCGTCAATGCTTAACTCTATAAATTCCATATAAGAAAATAAAAAATTCCTCCGTATAAAATTTTTACTGCCCATAATTTAAACAATAGACAATTTAAAAATACTTAAATGAAAAGAAGAAAAAAAACTTCCGTTTAATATAAAAATCTAGGCTGGCAGTGATATATACATGAAATTAACCCAAAAAAACTCGAAATAGCTTCAATGAAGTGTAATATTCATGATATATTACCTGGATGGTTTAAGGCAGACATGAATGCAGTGTAGAGATCAAGAATGACGAAAATTGGTCTACCAGTTTGATTATTGAGCTTCTGTATAGTTTGATGCAGAATTTCATTATGAAATCTTGAGAGAGAATTTGCAGAATCACTGCAATTCTTATAAGAAGAAGCAACAGTCATTCTCGGCAAACATCCTATGGGTTCCATTGCTGTGATGCCAATTTTAGAAACTCCTAATCCATGTATGCGTCTAAGGTTTAATTCTAGCTGACTTATTATTGATTTAGTTATATCGCCCAAGTCCTGCATGCACACAAAAAAACATGAAAATTATAAATCTTTTAATGATATTTTAGTTTTAGCAATAATTAATTCCAATAAACTTAACGGATTTTTTATAGGATATAAGTTTAAAACCGCAAAAAAAAGAAACCATGATAAGGAGTACTAGTTCTACCATTATATTACAATATTCCTCATGAATTAACAAACTTAATTACTTAAATATGTTTGACCCAATCTTGATAGAAGTCAAAGGTTGATGGGTTTCCAAAACATGTTAGAACCTTATATATACCTCGAACAAACGAAAAGAAGAATGAAAAGTGAAAGTTTATTGTAACTTTTAACTTATAACATTAAACAAAATAATCAAAATCAAGCTTTAGCACAATGTATAAATGTTTCATATGAAAATATTTTTGAGTTATTGATCCGGCCGATTTATATATATTATGCCGCTTAAGAAAAGACATAAATAAAAATAAGCATAAGAATATCCGTCTAAACTATCAATTATTGTCTTTAATTAACTCTCCACTAATTAGAATCATATAAGGGTTAATTCTGAAAAATATAATAAATGACTTCTTTCTTTTAAACGTCAGATATTTTGAAACAAATCCAGTTTACTAAAAGGACTAATATTTGGGAGTGGAAACTAATAAATGGAGTATAAAGAAATATATACAACGATTTTTCATCAAACAGTATGAGATCAAGAGCGAAAAAATTTATCCGCACCAGGTATTTATACCAAATCAATAGGTGCATGATATGCGTTTACATACACACTTCTATCACTTGACTATGGTTAATTATATTAGGAGTAAATATTATCACCTTATTAATTAATTAACCATAGTAAATGAATATGATTTGGCGTAAAAACCGAGCGGCGATAAGTATTTACGGCAATTAACCTCTGATCAATTTTCTTCCCTAACCAAGACATTGTTGCTTCCTATGTTGCGCGGACTCTCCAAAATGATGTTGCACGCATGTCGAATCCTCCAAAAATGCACTATTTTTGAGGATCCGACACGCACTTGGCTGACATTTTTGAAAAGTCCAAGCAACTTGCTTCACTATCAAGTGTGAAGACACTTGTTAGCTAGCAAAAGCAAGAACATAAAGTCCATATGCTGATCACCTATATAGGTAGGGTTTAGGTTAACAAACTTACTTCCATATTGTTGCCATTTTTGGTCAAGAAAGTAGCATAATCATTGCCTGCCACAGACACAAGAGCAATGGAGGAACTCATTTCCTCTTTTGTATACACCTCTTCTTCTTGAATTAGCTGCTGAAAATGATTTATTTGTGTGGTCATATTTGGTTGGTTAACAAATGTGTTGAATACACCTGTGCCTCCATATGCAAAATTCACTCCATCTTTTACTGATGATTTCCCATCAGATCCCTTCTTAGTATAAGGTAAAGGTGATCTTATGCCAAGGAATGAAGCTGCATTTAGAAAGTCATAGCAACATATTTAATTAGCTTAAATTATGATATCCATAAATGAAATTTTAAAAAAAAAAACAAATAGGTCATGGTAATAGAAATAGAGTTAAGTGGAGGACAAGTGAAGAAAATACTTAAAAAATATAATTTTGATAATTTAATATTGGCTTAACTGGTAAAGTAGTTGCCATTTGACCAGAAGGTTACGGGTTCGAGCTGTGGAAACAGCCTCTTTCAAAAATGCAGGATAAGGCTGCGCACAATAGACCCTTGTGGTCCGGTCCTTCCCCGGACCCCACGCATAGCGGAAGTTTAGTGCATCAGGCTGGCCCTTTTTTTTTTTTTTTTTAAATATTCGCGATTAAAAATTTAATAGTAGAGGTTGAGTTACATATAATATCCAAGCCGACAAATTAAGGAGGTTTAATTTTCTATTAATTCGGAAAGATCAGAGCACAGTGTTTTTTCCTAAGCTGCCTAGTGAGTATCCTGCGGCTGGAAAAAGTACATTTCAGCTGAATATCAATTAATAGTTAAATTCTTTGACATGCATTTTCGAACTTAATTAATCCATTGATCCTAAAATAAAATAACATCATTGTTTAAATAGTTGAATTTTCTGCCTAATGAAGCAATTTTACTGGGTTTTTTCTTTCTGAATGCTGCTTTTAATTAATTTGATATTGAAGCAACATATTAAAGAGATTACCAACAAGGGTTGTGGTGGATTGGTAAGTACTCCTTCATCCTTAACCAGAGGTGTCGAGTTCGAGCCTCTGGGTATGGAGTCGCCTTTGTTAGGGAGCGCTTTACCCCCAATGTGGAATTTTCCGGCGCGAACCCGGATTTAGTCGGGCCCCAATATGGATACCGAACACCGGGTAAAAAACAAAAAAAACATATAAAAGAGATTTATTAAGAGCTACGTGCGCCTTTCGTTCCAGCTTATGTGATCTAGCTTAATTCAACATGGATTTTAAACACAGAAACAATGAAGAGTGAAATTTTTGAAACTTCTGATTTTAAACATGTCATAATATTTATATTATTGTAAGACTGTTGAAGTGCTCTTGAATATGTCATTACATTAAGTGGGCGTTTGGATATAAGAATTGTAAAATTTCAAAAAAAAAAAAGTGAAAAAAAATTTCAAATGAAAATAGTATTTGAAAATTAGAGTTGTGTTTGGATATGAATATAATTTTGGGTTGTTTTGATGTTTTGTGAGTGATCTGAGTGAAAATTTAGAAAAACGATTTTTTGGAGTTGTACAAATTTTCGAAAAATTTCAAAATTTATCTTTATGTGAAAATTAAAAATTTTATGGCCAAACATTGATTTCGAAAAAAAAGTGAATTTTTCGGAAAAAAAAAATCATATGTCCAAACGGGCTCTAAGATTAATAAAATGAAAAGGTGTAAAGTTAAATTATTTTTAAACATAAAGATATATCATTTTTAGAATATATTGATAAAGATATATTGTCACATAAATTAAAATGAAGAGAGTAAATTTATAGCAAGATATATTGTCATAAGAAAAGTTTTATCCACAACTGGTACATATATCAATTCAATGAATAAATGACATGAGCTATCATTAAAGCTTAAGTTAATGTAGATTTTTACCTCAATTGATCATATAAACACGTAAGTTACTATGATTTGGTATAACTACCGCGTGCAAGAAAATTTACTTAGTTAATATACATTTTCACGATCATAAATTATTATGATCACTGTGTGCAAAAAAAAATTATGCATGCCCAAAAGAAAAAGAAAATACCAATAAAATCAGTGAGAATGAGGCCGTCGGAAAATCTGCCGGAAGGAGAAGCAGGGTAAGTGAGGCCATAAGGTTCTTTCCAAGAAGTAGACATTGATTTTGGCCAATTCCCTGTATCTACGTACGAGTCTCCGAAAACAAACAGCTTATGTTTCCCATTTTGTCGTTTGAGTACAGCATCAACCTTCAGATCAAACATGTCCACTGCAACAAATTAAAGTAAAAGATGCTAAAATTATATATTATGAAGTACAAACATCAGAATTTTGCTGAATTCACAAAGATATATATGGTTGGATCCACCTTTGAGTAGTTGCAGATCCAACATAGTCTCAATGGATTCAACTGAACGTAGTCAATATTCTCCAAATGGAGAACAAATATATATATATGTGTAAAAATATCACCAAAATTTTCAACAAAAATTAAGTTCTAAACTCATAATTGTAAAAATATGATGGATTCATGATAAGAGCTTAAAGGTTGAACATATCAAGTTAAGCTGCCAGAGGTGATGACAAATATTAGATGATTCACCTGCAGGAAAATTGGTCATATAAGTGAAGAAATATAAGAACCAGATCAAGCACACTTTGTTTTCCATTTGAGTGAATGTGGAATAAGATGGGAACTGTTTGTGGAAGTGTTAAACGTTAAAGGCCACAACATGTAAGACAACAAGAATACTAAAATACTACCCCCTATGTAGTATATATATATAGAGAGAGAGGCTCCTTTATTTGACGTGTTACGTGTAACAACATAACTTAATTAATTAGCGTGGACAGGGTTAATTAAATTTCTGTATTTCCTTCATTAGTTGGTCCAACATTTACTAATTTATAACCCCCAATTAACCTTCTAAACTAACCATATCTCCTTTCTCTTCATTCTTTCAAGAAATCTGATATCTCTATTTACGAGAAAAGATAGTCGATGAAGTTCTAAAACCTCAAGGGCAGTTCTAAAATAACTATTGAATGAGAACAAATATCTAAAACAAACACATTTTCTGATCTTAAGAAACTAACATCGATCCAACTACTCCAGATACCACTTATAAGTAACATATGAGTATATAAAATCAAATATTTGTATCTTGACCTAGAAAAACATGTCAAGAACTATAGGCGGTTGTGAAAAATAACAATGAAGTAGAAGCAATGGGGAAATAGAAGACCCAAGTCTCTTATCTCCGAACCAACATAGCAATGGCGGAGCCAGGATTTTCACCATATTTGGATACCAAAATATAAAAATTAGATATACCGAAAAGTCAAGGAAAGTCAATGTATAGTAAATATACATAAATTATGAAAAAAATATCTAGCAATATAGTGTAATTTCCGGCGAAGGAGTGTCGATTGACACCCCTTGGTTGAATGTGGCTCCGCCACTGAACAATGGCTTGAAACAATCCCAGTTCCATTGTTGCTACCCATGGTTTTGAGCCCAAACTCATTTGACCCGCCCAAGGTTGGGCCGGTCATTGACCCGCCTATTTATTAAACTTAGCCCATCTTGACACAATCCATCTAAAGTTGGGCTAATTTTAGTCCAAATTGATCCATGCGTAACTTTGCTAAAATATCTTTAAATTAATTCTTTTTTGTTTGATATGTCATATATGACCATAACAAAAAAAATAATATTTGATAATTAAATAATTCATAAGAAAATAACACACATTAATTAAAGCTGGATAAGAGTTTGGGGAGGGGAGGGGTTAAGCTATGACCCAAAATTTAGCACATCTTGACCCAGCTCATCTAAGTAACTTTTGGGCGAATCATTGATCTCACCCGCCCATTAATTGACTCAGCCCATTTTGGAGGGTGATTTTTAAAAATAGCCAGATTTACAACTGGTCGTTCAAAAATAGCCCAATTTCAAAAGTAATCGAAATTTAGCCACTTTTTATGTAAAGATAAATCTGAGCGAAAACATTGTTCAAAACCCGGAAAATACTCCAGTATATTATGCTGGAGTTCCAGCATAAGTATACTTGAACTCCAGCATATTATACTGGAGTTCCAGCATAAATACACTAGAACTCCAGCATAATATACTGGAGTTCCAGCAAGTATAATGGTCCAGTATAATATACTGGAGTTTGGAGCACCAGTGCTCCAGTCTCCAGTATATTATATTGGAGCCAGCAAAGTATACCGGTCCAGCATAATATGCTGGAGTTCATACACAAGTGCACCGAACTCCAGTATATTATGCTGGACCGGTCTCTATTGCAGCAAAACGGTGGCTATTTTTCATTGACTTGGTAAACGCTGGCTATTTTTAATTGACCAGTCCGAAAACTGGTTATACCGTGAAATTTTGGCCATTTTGGCTCTTCCAAAACCAGCCCAAATTGCCAATTTGACACCCCTAATTTTCCATATTATTCACTAATTAATAACACAAATGGTTAAAATATTATATACTTCGCATATATTGACTATCATTTAAACAACTCTAGAACAGCAACTATGCGTCTATGTCCAAAGAATATGGGCCTTACAGCTTGTCGCAAGCAATAAAAGGGAGAAATTTAAAAATAGTCAGATTTATCACTGGTCGTTGAAAAATAGCCAAGTTTCAAAAGTCATCGAAATTTAGCCACTTTAAATCTGAGCAAAAACACTGTTCAAAATCCGGAGAAAAACACCCGCAAATTTTACGGGATGCTGGAACTCCCGCAAATTTTACGGGGAGTTCAAGCATAATTATGCTGGAACTCCCACAAATTTTACGGGAGTTCCAGCAAGTATAATTGTACAGTATAATATACTGGAGTTTGGAGCACTGGTGCTCCAGTCTCCCGCAAATTTTACAGGAGTTAGCAAAGTATACCGGTCCAGCATAATATGCTGGAGTTCGTACACAAATGCACCAGAACTCCCGTATATTATACTGGACCGGTCCCTGTTGCAGCAAAATAGTGGCTATTTTTCATTGACTTGATAAACGCTGGCTATTTTTCATTGACCAGTGTGAAAACTGGCTATACCATGATATTTTAACGCAATAAAAGGTCAAATGAGAAAAATGTTATCTTCGTTAGATTGGGATTCTTTTCGTCCGTCAATAATTTTATGGAAACTACCAGCTATGTTCATTTTTAAGGAGCTTATTATAAAAATTGGTCAATTAATCAAGTATTACTAATATTAACCAATTATCTAAATGTAGCCAAAAAAGTCAAATCTTTGGTTTCTTTTGAGTGGATGTTATTAGAATAGATTGGGTACATCTTAGAAGTTTGATTCTCAGTTTTGTTTGAGGTGGTTTGAATCGAAAAATGAAGTAGAAGATGAAATATGAAGAAAAGAAATGATATATATCATACTGTGTATCACATATGTATCATGTTTGTATCAAATATGTATCACATGTATACCTATGAATGTGATACATGCGTGATACATGTGTCACAGAAGAATTTATGAAAAAAATGATATTGCATAGCCGCTGTAAAAATAATAACCAAAATAATGTATAAAATTTGTGTGTGTGTATATATATATATATATATATATATATATATATATATATATACACACACACACACACACACATTCTGTATGTTATATACAAAAATTATACAATTTTATATATTTTTTCGGCTACCAAATGTAAATAGTTTCTGGCGCGGACTAAAAGTGATAATACCCGCTAAAAATGATAATACCCCGGGTATTATCACTTTTAGCCCGCGTCAGAAACTATTTACCTTTGGTAGCCGAAAAAGTGTATCATTTTTTTTTTATTTTTAAATTAATTAATGGCTAAGCGATTTCATAACCTGAGCTTTCCTTTTGTATAAAATTTGTATAATCTTTGTATATACATTCAAAATGTATACATATACAAAGAATATACAACAAATATGTTTTTCCGGCTATTATTTTGAAAACGGCTATATAGTGACTACCAGCTATGTCCATTTATAAGTAGCTTATTACAAAAATTAGTCAATTCATAAAATGTTACTAGTATTAGCCAATTTGTTATTTGTAGCCAAAAAAGGTTAAATGTTGCTTTCTTTTGAATGAGTATTATTATAATAGATTGGGTACATCTTAAGGAGCATAAATATAAGTCTTGGGATAATTTGGTGGAGTTTTGAGGTGGTTTGAATTGAAAATTTGAAGTAGAAGATGAACATGAAAAAATGATATGTGTATCACACTGTGTATCATTTGTGTATCACATGTATACCGTCTTCCATCTAATATTGCTAATCACACTTAAAAATATGGAAGGAGATCTTTGCGTGTGATTCTTGGAGAAAAAGAACCTTATTTATTTGGATTTTTAATTTTTATATGTGCTTGACTAGTTTTGATAAGTCTGTGATTAATGGCTAGAACTTTACACAAAATAGAATATTGCAAACTCCATAATTCAATCTTTTAATTGGTGCAAGTATAGTAGAAATGTTCAAGCTATTTCGCATGTGCTTTAGACTTTAGGTATTCAACTATATAATACAATCTATAAAAAAGAGTGGGAAAGGGTCAAATTAGTCCCACTAGTATTTGAGCTAACTTTTATCTTTTGTTATACTTTTGGTTTAATCTAATCGGCATTAGGTAACGGAAGGTAATTTCAAAATATAGTCAAAAGTAGAAAATATTTTTAGAACTTTTTCCTCAGAATATTTCATACATGGAGTTACTCATTTCACTTATATAGTTTTATTAATGGTAAGGACAAAGACGGAAAGTTATCAAAAGAGTATGGATGAACCGAAGTATAATGAAAGTAAAATTGAGCAGTAATTGATAGCACACGAGCAAATCTGAACCTTTTTCCCGTTAGAACATGCACAGCGGAAGCAAGCATACAATTCAGGCATCACAAACATGTAAACTATATAATGATATAATTACGAGGTTAGAAGAACTAACCTATTGAAAACGTTGCACAGGTCCTCCACAGAGCAAGAATCCAGGACTGCAGTCTTCTGTTATGCTCCTAGTAAGACCTTGGACGAAATTGTTTTGTGTAGACAAAAATAATACAACTCTGAAAGTGTGTTATTAGGTGAAAATCGTCTTCCTTATGTAGACCCGTTTTTCAGCCAAAAGAGACTTCAAGAGGGCTCCAAAAAGGTGTAGAATTCTGCTTGTGCAAGTAGAATCCTACTCTAACTCTAAATAACAACTTTTTCTCCCAAGTCACTTTTTCCCTAGGTCAGTCCAGATTTTTACTAGGTATAACAGGGACCACAAAAATAATAAGAGGCTACCAATTATAGCATTAATTCGAAAATTTGGATGAATTAATTTGTACTATAATTGATTGCAGTTTATTCCACTAAAAATTACAATTGAACTCCTCAATATGAATTTCGAAAATTCACTAACACTTATTTTAACTCTCTATGTTGAGATCACAAATACAAGTTAATAAAATTAAATTACTGATAATTTAATTTAATCAACTAATTAAATCTTTTATAATTCCGCTTAAACTATTTCATGTGACGGATACAAAATCCACCGGCCGGATTTTCACATGAAAACTTATAAGTTTACATAAAGGGGTATCATCAAACTCAAAATCGAGTCATGGATTCTATCTAATAATTATTATTTCACAAATGCTATTCGTTGTTGTCAATCTATTAGGCATACACTAACTCTGAATAAAGTTGTACCTTTTGATAAATCAAAATAATAAACAAATCACATTGATCATAATAATTATATCAAGATTACGAGTATAAGCTCATTTAATGAATTAGAGAAAATGTTATATATATATTTTCTATAACATCTTTTCTCTACTTGGTCTGTTCAATATTCACTAAGTATACTAGCACAAGATGTCGGAGTAAAACCACTCCGATAATCAAGACAAATTATACTTTAATCTTGTGCTACAATCATCAAGATATTTTGCCCAATAATATCTTCGATTGTAAACATAGTTTATTAATTATGAGAACCGACAATTTAATCTTTTGTGTATGAGCTAAGACTCGATACACTAAATTGTTTTCTACATAACTAAAGGACACACATGTAACAAATGATTTATTTAAAATAGTACTTTATTAAATTGGATAAATTAAATAAACAATTATTCCATAAAAAATAAAACACAATACTATATTTAAACCGCATGGTTAGTAGTATATCCCAACATTCCCTACCACCTTAGGAAGAACATACTGGACTAAAGACTGGTGTACCTTGGCCAATTTAGGCCGGAAACAACTACATATATGCTTGGTAATTAGGATAAGAATAACTACTAACTAGAAGAAACAAATACTATTCTAAAAATAGTAGTGGGTCCAAATAAAAGGTTATTTATCTCTCCACTTGCATTCTTAATTATTGAAATACGTAAATCAGAATTGATATTTGTTTCATGCATGCAAAAATGACATTATGTGAACTAATTACAAAACAACGATTTAGAGGAAGTCGGATGTTGTAATCCAACCAATAATTTAAAGAATGATGTAAAAAACCAATTTCCTATTGATCATAATCTAAAATTGGTTAGGAAAAAAAAAGAGTAATGAAAAACATTACTTTCTTTCATCTCAATGTACGAGATCTTTTTTTTTTTTTTTTTAATTTGTAGAATAAAATAATAGTTTTTATATTTAAAAATAATTTAATTTTAAGTTTTTTACTCTTAATAAAAAAATTTATAATCATACAAGTATTTATATCTTATTTTAAAATAGAACTTTTTAATTTATTTTAAGAACTATATTCAATCAAATTAGGAAGGAAACTTTCTTTTCCTTTATTTTTACGACGAAACCGCAAGGAAACTAAAAATAAAAAGAAACATTATTATAAGGAGAAAACCCCAAAAAAAGAAGAGGAAAAAAATAAAAAAGAAGGAAAGGAGGAGGAATTGCCAGAGTGCCTTTGCTGGAATTTGGAATTTGGAAGTTGGACACCACCAAATCCTAACTTCAAACTCTCAATTTAATAACTATTCCTTCTCTGAATTTTCCAAACTTTAACGCGTCCGCTGAAAAGCTGAATCCTAGATACATATTTTTCTTTTTTCAATTGGAGCTGCAATTTACTAATTCAAAGGTTTGTTTTATTTCTTTACCTCAATTTCGATTACCCTTTTCATAGTTGGTTTTGGATTTGCCTTTGCATATATATTACTTATTGATCATATACATTAGAACTCTAAATTTAATCCGATCAAGTTATATATGTCGTTTTCATGAAATATTCAGGTAATTCTGAACTGGGTTTTGTTATTTTTGATCAGATGCAGAAGGGGTGGTTTTTATTTTGAAGAAATAGTAAAATAGATAAGAACTTGGCTTGATTGAGTGGTTTTTGTTGTACAGGACTTTAAAGGTTTGAACTTGATATCATATTTCAAACTAGAATTGTTGATTGATCCAATTAAGTTATATATGTTGTTTTATTGAAATACATAGATATTCTGTGAACTGAGTTTCTTTGGTTTTGATCATATGCAATAATGGTTGTTGTTTTTTAAGAAGTAGTTAAAAATAGTAACTTGGCTTTTACTGACTGGTTTTTGGTGAACAGGAAATCATAATCTTGAAAGTAGTTGGGAGGATTGAAAATATAGTTTGTTGCTCGTGGGTTCGGGTTTTTTGGTCAAAAGTTTCAAGCTTTGAATTTTGCATGAGGGTTTGTGAATAAAAGATGTATAGCAATTTCAAGGAGCAGGCAGTAGCTTATGTGAAGCAAGCAGTTGAGGAAGATAATGCGGGAAATTATGCAAAGGCGTTCTCGCTGTATATGAATGCTTTGGAGTATTTTAAAACACATTTGAAGTATGAGAAGAATCCCAAGATTAAGGAAGCAATTACGCAGAAGTTTGTGGAGTATTTGAGGAGGGCTGAGGAGATTCGTGCTGTTCTAGACGAGGGAGGAGGTGGGCCGCCAGCATCCAATGGAGATGCTGCTGTTGCATCGCGTGCAAAGTCAAAGCCAAAGAATGGAGGAGCAGAGGGTGATGATGCAGAGAATGTAAAGTTAAGATCTGGACTTAATTCCGCTATTATTAGGGAAAAGCCTAATGTGAAGTGGAACGACGTAGCAGGGCTTGAGAGTGCCAAGCAGGCATTGCAGGAGGCTGTTATACTGCCGGTTAAGTTTCCTCAGTTTTTCACTGGTTAGTACTCCCCCTTTTTTCCCTTGTGTTTCTGTACATAAATTAGTCTCAAGATTGATATAAGAAGTGAGCAAAGGTTTAAAATGTGATATCATTCCTCTGGCTGTCTGCAATTCTTAATTTTTTATCGCTGTAATTTCTTCCCTAAACAATGGTTAATGCTTTGAATTGGAAGTGAATGTTCTGTTGGTGAAACACTAATTAACATAATTGCTTGGTCTCTGCAGTGAAGGAACTTGTGTGAGCTATTAGTAACTACTTGTCTCATGATATCATGTCTGATAAGAATTACTTTATCGGCTAATTAACTGGATTAATTGGATGACATATATGAAAATTACTTTTGATTCACGGGATGGATGATCATCACAACAAAGAAAGGGACTAACTTATGAGTGGCTTCATAATATGTGACACTATTAAAAGCCTTAAACAAGTTTTACACTACTCAAAGTAACCAAACAAAAGTTTATAAACACTAACCATGAAGTCCCTTATGGTATTTAGTTGGAGATTCTAAAGAAGGTTTTCAGATTGCAACTTCAAGAGTCATGCCACTTCCTTACGAGAAGTCAAGAACTGTATGAAAATATACATAGAAGTCCATTATGTTCATAGCTTGTTGAGTTAATATTCCTGTTTCATTGTGCATTTTTCTATCAGGCAAGCGTCGACCGTGGAGAGCCTTTTTGTTATATGGCCCACCTGGAACAGGAAAGTCATACCTAGCAAAAGCTGTTGCTACAGAAGCTGATTCTACCTTTTTCAGGTAATACGCTAAAACTGGTGCGCAAGATTCAGATTCTTCTGCATTCTATTAATGGCAAAGGATATATTTTATTCACCACATCTCTTTCTTATCCATTTCCCCTTGCATCACTTTGGAACTCTCTACATTTGGAGAAAGAGATATGCTTTCAGTTCCACTTAGCGGGAATGCTTTGTGTATATATTAGTGTCCATTATCGTTAAATGCAAAAACATTGAATGAAAGTAAAAGGTAAGCACATAAAAAGTGAAAACATCTGCTTGTTATCCATTTCCCGTTCATCACTCTCCCAAACACAAGCATGCAAAGACACACTGCCTAGGCGAGGAAGAGTTAAGAGAGACTAGAAGTCAATGTTTTATTCAACCTAGTATATTTGACTGCTTTAAAAAACAAAAATCATGCATTTGAAATTGTCCTATTTCGGTCGTGCAGTGTTTCTTCGTCAGACCTTGTTTCAAAGTGGATGGGTGAAAGTGAAAAACTTGTGTCAAATCTATTCCAAATGGCCCGAGAAAGTTCTCCTTCAATAATATTCATAGACGAAATTGATTCCTTATGTGGCCAAAGAGGTGAGGGTAGTGAGAGTGAAGCATCAAGACGTATCAAAACTGAGCTTCTTGTACAGATGCAGGTAACTTCTGTTCTGAGGATATATCGCAACTGCTTTCTTGATTCTTTGAGTTCTTATTTTCAACTATTTTGCTATAGGCAGAATTTATTCCTAATCAAACTAATCATAGATGTTTTGCTTGGAGTTACATAGGAATAGTTGTTAGATATTTGACATTATGTCCTAGTTTGGTTTGGGATTTGAAAAAAACTTTATTCAATAGGACAGGGCTTTGAGTCTTTATTTTTTATTTTTGTATTTTTTGGTATGAAGTTCAGAGTTTTTAAGCAATTGTGCCGGAGTTAAGTGATCTCAGAGTTTTTGGTGCTTCCTTTGGCTTAGAATACAATTACAAAGAAGCAATTCCTTCAGCTTCTTTTCCTCTTGCCGATGCTTTTCAGTTCTGAGAACAGGCGTAGTTTTCAAAAAAATTCAAGCCTCTTTTGTTCTTAGACCTTTTCTAAGCCATCATGCAACATAAAGCTTTTTCATTCTATCATTCCCTGCCCTTGTTTGCAGTGCATTTTCAGTATTTTAAACCCTATAACTACTGTGAACATTTCATACAGTTAAGAAGTTCTCTGTATTCCTGTCAACACTCACAGCTTGCAAAAATGAGTTTATCTAAGATGGTACTAGGAAAATAGAAATGGACCCTTCCAGAATACTTTTGTGGACATTATTCAATAAGAATCAGACATATTTAAAAAATAAAATAAAAGGGATATTTAGGGCAAAAATGGAAACTCCCAGGTTGGTTGAACATTGACTGCAAGATTTTAGAATATGTCTCCGGAAAGGATAAGTTCTGACGTTGGGGCTCCCCTATGTTTAAATTGTTGTGACATATATCAAAAGGATTAGGTCCTTCCTACTTTTTCCATCTAGTTAAATCTTACCCGTGGAGAACATCACGCGATTCATGGAAATTTCCTGGGGGAATCTGATATTACCTGCAGCGAACTTTTACATGCATCTCTATTTCTATTTTTCTTTTATTGCTTCCTTCTAAATTGCAAAGTACTTGCCATATTGCTTTATGCTGACTATCTTCAATGCCTTCTAGGGTGTAGGGCACGATGATGACAAAAAAGTTCTTGTTCTTGCAGCGACCAACACTCCCTACTCATTAGACCAGGTTAGAAGGGTCTTTCAACACTCCTTAACTTCATGTTTTGTTAGAGTTATTTCTCCGTTCCTGTCTAACGAGTAGCTTTCCTCAGGCTATTAGGCGGAGATTTGACAAAAGAATTTACATCCCCCTACCAGATTTGAAGGCAAGGCAGCACATGTTTAAGGTACATGCGAATATTTTAAGCATATCAGGAATACTCTCGGAGCATTGATCTCAGATGTTGCGACATACTAATCTTATTTACGTTCATGAGCAGGTACATTTAGGAGACACCCCTCACAACTTGACAGAAAGTGATTTTGAGCAACTAGCTCGGAAAACAGAAGGTTTTTCAGGTTCAGACATTTCTGTATGTGTAAGTATCGTACTTTTTATTGAATACTAGCTGGTCTAATATTCCAAAGAAATACGGTCAGCAATGCTTCTCAAAGGTAGCTGAAGTTGCTCTTTTCTCATCTTCCTTTAAATAACAGGTAAATGAAGTCTTGTTTGAACCTGTACGTAAAACTCAGGATGCTGAGTTTTTCATTAAGACCCGTGATGGGTTGTGGGTGCCTTGTGGACCTAGACAACCAGGTGCCATTCAGACTAATATGCAGGAGCTTGCCGCACAAGGGCTAGCCTCAAAGGTAACGACATATGTTGCTTCTGGCAGATAGACGACTACATTCATGTAGTCATGCCTTCTATAATGCTGCCCGTGTTATGCCATGTGTTAACTCTGCAAATGAATTTCATACTACCTGCAATTGAAATTTACGTCATTCTTGGCACTCTAGGTGCAATGGTATCACAACAAGATTTATAATAAGACATGGCAGATGCATAAAATAGTTTTTCAAGTCTCCAAAGCCAAACTTTTGAACAAAAAGGAAAACAAAGTGGGAGAAGTTATTAAGACACTATTATAATAGATATCCGACGTTATGATGGGTCATGCTAAGAACTGACACCGTTATAAAGTAGCTAATGCAGTATGGTTGTTTGTTGATTACCAATTATTGGTTGATACTTTTGCAGATAACACCACCGCCAATCAGCATAAGAGATTTTGACAGAGTACTATGGAAACAGAAGCCAACAGTAAGCAAAGCAGATCTTGAGGTGCACGAGAGATTCACGAAGGAGTTCGGTGAGGAAGGATGAATGCTCTTTGGTTTTCTATACAAAATTGTGTAACTATTATTGCACCGATATAATGTGTAGTCAAATGATAAAACCTGACAGCCGTGTGATAAATAGAAATAATCAGTCAGGTTCTTACTTGAAGGACCATTGAGCTGATGTTAAGCGGTTGCTACTTTTGCTTTGCTGTACAGCTTAATGCTATTTTGTCAAAAAGCATTTCATGTAATTTTACACGTTCAGACCATCGTTTAATAGTAAAGGAACGTCAATATTTCTGATGGAATGAAAGAAATGTGGTTTTTCTTTTTTACTAACATTTATTAACATATGTATTTTTTTTCACAATGAAAAAGATACATATAATATGGCGCCCACCGTGGGGCTCGAACCCACGACCACAAGGTTAAGAGCCTTGCGCTCTACCAACTGAGCTAGACGGGCTTTGTTTCCAAATACACAAATTTACCTATTGTTTGAGGAATAGACTTTTGAACCTTTGATCTGCCTTCTTATTAATACCAGAAAGCTGGAACAAGATAGCAACCCTAGCTAAAAGCAAAGGCATATAGATATAAACACACGTTACCATAATTGAGGCAAATCATCTGCAGTTCTACATACAGAATGAAAAGTCATTAGGACAATTTACAGGATTCTGTGATAAAGATGTGGATGTAGTTAGAACGTACTCTTTCAACTGAACTTAGCATTTTCAACACGGAACTTAAATATATATGTGAAATCGCTAAACTTTAATAAATATAAATTTTGACCGCATAATAGTGATAGTGTACCCTATCAAATTCGAATCCTGGGTCCGCCTCTGACTGCATGACCTTCAAAACTGGCCCAATCATTTGAGCAGTGAATATTACACGGGAATATTTGGATACAGTATCATGCAAAGAAGAAACAAAGTGGTAATCTTCTACGTGTAGCTCGGTTGTGCATTAAGGCTCCAAACCAGATTCTAGGCTCCCTGTATCTCCAAAAAATGCCGAGAGAATATAACAGCTCTCCCTCTCTATTCCTATCTATAATCTCTCTGCTTCTATAATGTTACCTAGCTGCTCCGGGTCGTCCTCTGCTGTATTTTGGAGGATTCGTCCTAGCGGCATCAACTGTTATCATCCAGCCATTAATGATCTGTAAAACATAAAATCAATAAAGTTATCATTTCTGTTAGCACAGATGATTTTGTGGAAGTAAAATAAAGCAATTTGCTCCAAAATTACCTTGCCATTCATCTCTTTGAGAGCAGTATTTGCAGCCTCCACTGTTGTGTACTCGACAAAAGCATAACCTTTCGACCTCTTGGAAATTTTGTCCATTATGATTTTAACTGTTAGGATATAGAGAAAATTCATGAGCATAGATTTTCTTATAACTACACTATCAAGCAGTAAATCTTAAGACAGCAAGTATAAACACCTTCAACAAGTTCACCAAAGCCTTCAAATGCTGCACGCAGCGTTTTCTCAGATGTATAGAACGACAGACCTGTGCATACAAGGTGCATTGCAAACAGTTAGATAATTGAAATAAGGCAACAATCTGTAATGTAATCTCTAGTACTAAATGGAAAAGGAGTAATTTATTTAGGAAATGAACAACACTTTTTGGAGGTGAATGTAGAATTGCAACTTACCAGTCACAAAAAGCTTCTTCGTTATAACATCTGTTTCCCCCTTTGGTGCTGCAGATTCCTGGGAATCTTCACTCAGCTTCAAATTCCCACCTGAGAAACCATGGCTATTCAAACTTCCAAAAAAAAGAGAATATTGCATGTAATTAGCTATTCCCAAAAATTTTGGGGACATCACTGTTTACAACTAGTTCTGTCTGCGACTTCCCCTCCCCAAATATAAGACCAATGAAGTGACCTATAGCTTCATCCATGTTTAACCGATCAACTCAGTTAGTTTTAAAGAATATGCTCTTTTGTACTATAGCGTTGTGACAAACTGGATGAATATGTATCTCCCATGTACATTTAGTGAAGAGAGAGTGAACCAAATAACTTATCCAGTTCAACAATCTCCTCCATTACTATGTCGAGGAAGTTCCGCAAAGGCATAAGTAGTCAAGAAACTCATGTTTAATTTGAATATTTACGAGAGAGGAGCATGAGGTAATACTAGATTCTTTTATTTTCCTTCTGATAGAAAAGATAACACCTACAGTCTTTACTTTTAACACTTCCATCCTTTAACAAAAAATATAGTCAATAGAAAGCGAAATCAAAATGCTTTTTACAAATCCAACTTGGCCATAGCATTACTCTCTTTGCTGATACAAAATCAAGGATAGAGAACAGGGGGAAAAAAAACAAGTCGAGCTTCCTAAAAGTAAAAGATGATTAGCTACAAGCAACTTTTAAAACTAAAAATACCTCTTACTACCAAACTAACATTCAAGAGCACAAACCTCTCGTTCGATTTCTGGGGGAAATCATTTTAAAGGCTCCTTTCCCTAGGGATGACAACTCTTTTCTGGAAATCTAAGTGGGAGCAATTTTAGATTAATGTGTGGATACTGGTATTGATTTTGAGTAAGACGGCTAAAGTCACCTTCAAGGACCAGACTGTCAATGGAATATTTTGAAGAGGTCAACATGCAATATCATATATGGTAATAAGGTTTATTCACCCTTAGAAGAAGAAGTTAATCTCTGAGATGAAGGGCTGATATGATCATCTTATAAAGTTAGAATCATCATGGGTAGAACCTGGAAATTAAAGTTTATAAAAGAGCATGCAAAAGAAAATTTAAAAGAAAAGAATCTTCAAGTTGAATTGATATACTAGATCTTTTCTTTTTTAAAATAACTTCCTGATACTACATTACTATGTTTAAAGAAGTCAATAAATTTATGACATTTCACATTTATGGCTTTCATTTTGATATTCTTCTAGGCGACCCAATCCTCAACATCAAAGATGTAGCACTCAACAGGGTAAAAGTAAGATATGATCTCAAACCTCCATAGTCTTTATTGTCTGACTCAAAATTTTCATCTGGCTGTACAGATAGAACACCAGGTACTCCTGCATTAGTACATCAAGATATTTACTGGCACTATAAAAAAAATTAATACAAATTACGGGTGAGATTACTAGTATGACATGTATGCTCACCAGCTAATTCTTGAGCACATGCCTCATCCAATTCACAACAAAATCCATAATTGGATTGCCAGGACACATGATATAAGCACATCTGTGCATCCTTCTCACTGTCATCCAGGAACCAATCCATCCTTTTAGCAAAACGTCAATACATGTGGTGGAAATAACAATATATTAACACTCAGAAACAGATACTTACTTCCCAAGAACTTTGGTTAAAACTTGAACGTAATAGTCAACAACCGGGGCTTTTCTTATGACTCCAACAGATGGCCTGGCCATTCGAACAAGCCAATGTTTAGAAGTGCCAGCCGGAAACAATGATGAGCCTTCAGTGTATGAAGTTGATAGGGAACTTAACTGACCCTTCGGGTAGCTATAGTCTTTCACCATTGAGTTAAAATCAGGGTCAGGTATAACTGATAATACCCCAGGCACACCTAGTATTCAGAAATGAACAATCACTTCAAAGTCCTAGCAAACAGGAAATGTTAAGCGAATATCCAAAACATATACTCCCTCCATTTCAATTTATGGAACGTAGTTTGATGAAACAAAGTTTAAGAAGAAAACGAAGACTTTCGAAACTTGTGGTCTTTAGATCTTATAGGGTAAAAGCTTTTGGGGGACTTTCAATTCGTGTAGCTATAAAAGCTTCTATTAAGGTAAAATGGGTAAAAGGGAAAGTTTAAGTTAAATTATTTCCAAAAACGGAAATGTGTCATTGTTTTTGGAATGGACTAATAAGGAAAGTGTGTCCGATAAATTGAAACGGAGCGAGCAGTAGTATTTTACAATTAGCATGCACTATATCTATTTTATGGTGCAATAACAATGCCTTCAATCTTGACTGATATATAGCGGAGGTTATGCAAAAGAGCAGACAAGAATTTACCAGCAATCTCATTAGCTACCTCCTCATCAATGTCGCAGCAAAATCCATATGGGACATTGCAAGAAGCATTATATATACACATTTGAGCATCCTTCTCACTGTTTCATGAAGAATTGATAGTTGTTAAAAATCAGCACCAACTCCCATAGTAAGACATCTTTCAAGAGAACTCAAGTATAGCTGGATAAGACATAAATAGAGTCTTGAAGTGGAGAAGAAATATTAGTTATTCCTCATGCACGAAACAATAATAACAAACCTAGTGAAATTCCGCATGTGGGGTCTGGGGAGGGTAGTTGGTACGTAGACCTTACCCCTACCTAGTCAAAAGTAGAGAGGCTGTTCTGGTAGACCCTCAGGCACGAAACATGCATCAAAATACAGAATGAGTCATTTCAAGTCAATTTCTACATTAATGGAGCCTAATTTTTAATTTATGTTCCAAAAAAGAGCAGGCTCCAATGACATGGAAATATTTGTTGGTACTCTTATCTACTTAACAATAACTAGGCCAGACATTATTTTGTAGTTAGTGTGGAGAGCTTCATTAGCCAAAAAAACTCAACAGGAAGCAATCAAAACAATATATACTCCTATTATATTCGCCAAAAGGAGCTATTTTCTACGAGCTTCTCTACTGAAAAGGGGCTTTTTGCAAATGCAATTTGATATTGTGAAAATTACAAGCGTCCAATTGTATTCGACTATAGTTACCTCAAAAGTACCGGGAAAATTACAAAAAGGAAATAGTTTATGGAATTTCAAATTAACAACACATATTCTTGTTCAAGCACATAGTGAAGATTAATTATTGTATTATTTAAGGAAACACAGGTACCTGCCCAAGACTCTTTGGAGGGTGTGAACATAGTAATCAATGACCTCAGGTTTGGAACTGAGCCCATTTAGCGGGGTTTCCATGAGAACCATCCAGTGGCGTTGAGTGGTAGAAGAATTGCGCAAAGATGGGGAAGTGGGTGTAATAGATGAAAAAGAAGCTGATATTGAAGTTGCCCTGTTTCTTAGACAAGTACAACAAAATTTGGAAGAAGCAGAAATGCTAGAGCAGAGATTTTTGGATGATGAATTTGGAATATTTAGGGTCAATTTGAAATGGGGATTGTGGGGTTTAGCAGATAATGCAGTAGGGATTATAGAGAGAGAAGAAGATGAGTGAGACAGAGTTACTTCCATGGCTCATAGCCTCACACCCTTCAAAGCTCACACTTTGCTCTCTCAACAACTGATAGAGAGGATATTTTAATTGGGAAAGCATTGACATATAAAAGATTTACTTAATACTTAATATTATAAAATAAATCATCTTGTTATTATAAGTTTTTCATTTTATTTAAATAAAATATAAAAATAAAATTGAAAAGTACTCTAATTCTTTCAAAATGACCTAAAATAAGTAAGGTTATTTCGGTATATACATATTTTGCTAAGGGATTTTTTTTTTTGGCAAGAATAAAAGTCAAAATTGACTCCCCCACCCACACATAAATGAGTTTGGTCAAACACTTTAAATTTTAAATGAAGATACTTTTGATCCTAGGAAAAGCTCGGCCAAACATGCTATAAGGCTATTACACAAACATATTTTAAGTTTTTCTTCTTTTGTACTTTACGGCTATTGGTACCTTTGACCCAAGCAAAAAAAAGGCTATTTTTAACCATGGTTTAAATGACTCTTTATTATACTTCAAACTGAAGCTCCATTAGGATAACACAAGAGTATGAATAATTCAATATAATTGTCACGACCCAAAATCTCACATGTTGTGATGACACCTATCTCAATACTAGGCAAGTCGATAACCACAATAAATCACAAAATTCTTTAAGTATGAAAACTTAATAAATAAATTTAAAAGTATAATCCCATAAATATTGATACAAAATACTGTGTCTCTATACAATAAATTCCCAAAATCCGGTATCACTGAGTATATGAGCATCTAAATGACAATATAGTGTGACTAATAAAATACTGTCTAAAAATATAGAACAATATAATTAACTGAAAGGAAAGAGAGTCAAGGTCTGCGGACGCCACGGCAACTACCTCGATAATCTCCAATAGATAAATCTCCAAAACCTAGCAGCAGCCGAATCCGGAAGTACCTGGATCTGCACATGAAGTGCAAAGTGTAGTATGAGTACAATCAACCCAATGTACTCAATAAGTAACAAGATTAACCTTTGGGCTGAGAGTAGTGGCGAGCTCAACAAGTACGGTCCAATTATAGAAATAACAGTACAGAAATGTAGGCATGCTTTTAAGTTCAACAGTTAAACTCAATACAAGTAACAATAGACCAAATCTAAATGATATGGGGAATATGACATCTCTCTATCTACATGCCTATGTACATGCCGTAGGAGATGCAACACAATGAAAGCCTCACGTACTCACACCCTCAGAGTACTCAATCACTCAGTACTATACGGGGTAGATCCAACCCTTAATATGAATGGTAACTGACAGTCAGTCACTCAGTACTCTATAGGGCAAATCAAGCCCAAACATAAATGTTTAGAGCACGGCCCAGCTCGATCCCGATAACCACAAAGTCAACTCTCGGTCAAACTTCTCAATTTCTAAAACTTCTAATTTTCCAATTTTCGCCGTTTCAACCCAAATTCGACTATGGACTTCCAAATAAATATCCGGACACACTTCTAAGTCCAAAATAGCCATATGGAACTATTGGAAACCATCAAAATTTCATTCCGGAGTCGTTTATACATAAATCATCATCTGGTTAGTTATTTCAACTTAAGCTTTTAATCTTGGAACTAAGTGTCCCGATTATTCCATAACATCCCCGAAGAGTCACATAATCACAATTGAGCATAAAATAAGCAGCAAATGGGCAAACAAGACTGTAATACTCAAAACGATCGGCCGTATCATTACAATAACAAAAAGAAAAAATTAATATATTTCATATAGATGAATAATTTTTTATCTTTTCCCAAGAAAAGAAAAAAGAAAAAGGGACGACTCTTAACTTAATAACATATTTCTTCTTCTCTTTTCCCTTTAAAAAGGTGAAATGGTTAAAGGTATTTGTAGAGTAGTTTTGCGTATGGAAATTGATGTTTGGACAGGTTAAGGAAATCTTTTGAATAAATTTCTTTTAATTTTTAATAAAAGTGTTTTCTCAAAAAAATGTGATTGGACGGTTGAATATGATGATAACAACACCTGCTTATCTTCGATCAAATCCTAAAAATTGACACTAGCATTTGGTTAACAAGAAATTACCCTAAGAGTATTACATTAAAACAATTAATTTACTGTTTGTCAGACTCAATCAATGAATCAAGTCTCCTCTTTATGATCAACCACTTCACCCGGCGGTCCTTCCGTAAAGCAGGTAAACCAATTGCTTTAGGTCTCACATTTGTGGGGACCTCCTTTTTTTTTAACACCTAATAGATTATATTTAAGTTTAAAAAAAAGTTTTATAAAGTAAAAAAATAATATTTCTTTCTTTAACGAATATAGAGACAAGGATTTGCAACTGCTATGATTTCTGTGTAATACTCCGTAAATTCTGACTAGGTGTGGACATGTTAAATGGGTATTAATATGATATTTTAGGCATGTGAAGTCCTATCGGGATGAGTATGAGTGGAAATAGTTATTTTATTATCAATATTCTCCTCAAATTATTTCTTCTTATATATCACACGTTTCTTACGAAATTCAGGTTCGATATTCATTTCAAATGTACTGACGTCCCTTCTGCCAAGGAAATTGCATTTGAAATGAATATCGAACCCAAATTTCGTAAGAAACGTGTGATATATAAGAAGAAATAATTTGAGGAGAATGTTGACAATAAAATATCAAAATTTCTTGAAGAGTCCTTTATAGTTAATTACTTTTTATACATACTCCCTCTAGTCCATAATAAGTGACTTTTTGGCCTTTGGCACACCCCTTAAGAAAATACTGACTCCTAGAGCAAAAAAAGTATTTTGACTAAATTATCCTTAATTAAAATTTATATGTTGTTAACTTGACACATTGATGTATGTAAATAAGGGCAAAATTTGAAAATATAAAATTAATTCCTTCTCGATTATATAAAAGGACACTTATTTTGGACCAAAATAAAAGCCAAAACAATCACTTATTATGGACCGAAGACAGTAGTAGACAAGTTATTTTTCACCTTAAAATAGATGTGAATAATTAGAAGCATATGAAAATATTTTTGGTTTTCTATTTAGTGGTAAAAAACTGAGATCACTAGATGATAGAAATTTGAAAAAATATTATTTTGATCTTGAATGTTCCTTAAAGCATAATAATCAATCGGATATTATTATTGCTCTTCAAACAACCCCTTCTAATTAAGATAAATAGAGATGTTACCAGATTTAAAAAGAAATATTATCACATTTATTTTCGCCTTTGTTGAATCGCATTCGGTATTCACATTGGAAAAGAAAATAATATGTACGAGCACTCCGTTATACTATTTTCACTTGATGAAAGAATTTTAATTTTATTGAAACTGTCAATAAGTCTGAAACAATTAAAAACAAACATGCAATCACAAGTATGTGCATTTTACATATTGTTATGCAGTAATTGTTAGAAAAATTGATAAACTGAATACAACAAGCCAAGTTCATACATTCAGATTTTTCCATGTCACTTCGTAGGAAAAACAACAAGCCAAGTTCATGTATTACATATGTAATTTGCGCGCGCACACATATTATATACATACTCAATCTAAGATACTTAGAGAATTATATAATTGCGCGCGCACACACATTGTATGCGTGCTCAATTTAAGATACTTGGAGAATTATACCATTTGCGCGTGCGCACACACATTATATCATAAGAAAATAATAATGATATGATGAAAGCATGGGAAAAGCAAGTTTCGTATTAAGTAGTTATGGAATTAAAACTATGTTATCTTGACTGTTGTAGTAAATAACTTTAACTAGAATCAACAAATTAAGGAAATTAGAGAAACCAAAGTCCTACCATATATTATAATTATTAAAGAACCAATAAAATATCCTAAAGTATAATTATTAAAGAACCAATAAAATATCCTAACTTATATTATTAAAGAAAATGTATAATTCAAAGCCCATCCACCAGCTTGTGGTTAGCAACAACTCCATATTATAAATCATCAATCCATGAGCATCACCAAAACGACATCTTGGTCGTTTGATCAACCAGTTCATGGACCAAATGATCAAATTAATTCTCCTTAATTAATTAATTGAGTCAAATTTTGTGAAGCTTCTCAGCCTTAACCAATGGATTAGCCATGGCAATGGCCACCCTTCCCATTGACTTATAGTCAAAGGTACAACCATGTTGTTCAGGGTACCTATGTGAACCACAAAATGTGACCCCACACCTACACTTGAAACCCGTTAAACCAATCCGCTTCCGACACGTGGCACACCGTTTTGACTGCACCTGAGGGGTCTCGTTTGCAGTAGTCAATTGCACCTGAGGAGCTTCGGCTGCAGTATTCAACTGCAGCTGGGGGGCCTCGGCTGCAATATTCAATTGCACCTTAGGGGACCCACATGAAGTATCCAACTGTACCTGAGGGGCCCCAGTCTCGACCACATGACGTGGTTGTGAGACTTCAAGAATTGGCAATGGCTCCACGCGTGGCGTGTACGAAGATATTGATTCAGATTGTTGTTGTTGTTGTTGTTGTTGTGGTTGGGGGCGAGTCTTTTCCATTGCAAGTTTGGCCGCTCGTGATTGTTGTTCTTTCATGCAATGATCCTTATAGCATTTGGAACAGAGGTTTAGAGTTGTTGGGCTGCCAAAGAATCCACAATTGTTTGCACAAAGCCTATGCCCTCCTGCTTCTTGTATTCTTTGTTCTTCTGCCATTCTGTTTTTTCGACAAACTACAATTCTCCAAAAGAATAGACGAACAACAACAAATTATGAGCGATCGACTTATTCAAATCAATCGCTCAATGCCAAAACAAGATCTCTACGTACCTTATACCTACAAACAAAACAACAATATATTTGACGAAATGTGCTTATAAATAAATCAAGAAAATGAACATGACCAAATCAAAGATATAAACCAAACGTTAAAGACGTCAAAATTGAAAATGTGCGTACGTGAACAAGCGAAGAAATCGGAACAGAAAGGAGATTGATGGTAGAAAGTAATAGAGGTTTAAATATTGGAAATTTAGAGGGCTTTTAGGTGTGGAGTGGTTGGTGGGGTTGGAAATTAAAAGATGAAAACAAAAGAAAGGTACGTGAAATATAAAAGGAAACTTTGGGTTACTTGGTATTGTCGTTTTAGAAAGATTCTTGTAGATGCCAAAATTGTAGTGAGAGAGACCATAAATGTTTACTCGCATCGAATAATTTAACTTTATTAGCTAAACATTAAAATAAGAATACATATTATTTAACTCTAAAGGGGAGTCTTGAAAGCAGCGGTACAATTGTCTTTGCGTGACCGTCACGAATTTGACCCGTGGAATCAACCACTGATATTTTCATTAGGGTAGGCTGCCTACACTACACCCCATTAGGGTGCAGCCCTTAACCGGACCCTACGTGAACGCAGAATACTTCGTTCACTGGCAGAGGTGGAACCAGGATTTGAAAGTTATAGGTTGCGGGTTCTAATCCTTTTAAGTTACTGAGTTCTAAATTAATAATAAGTACATATTCAATGAATTTCACAAAATAAATACAGAGTTTGGACCAAAGCTACTGAATTCGGCCGAATCCGTAACTGATAGGCTAGCTCCGCCTCTGTTCCCGGGGCTACATGTATATAACAAAACACATATATGTCATATTTATTGATTTAGCGTAAATGCACCGTGTGCAAATAATTTTTATTATTGTAAATGGTTGTAAAACGAATTGCTTTATGACAAACATTTGTGATGGGAATCATAAAAGTCGTTGATGCAACGTTAAGGAGACCACTTTTTTTGTTTTTGCTTTTGCATTGCTTTAAGTCTACGTTTGTGTTTTCTTGATGTGATTTGCTTAATTTTTTATGGTTCGTGAACTATTAGTGTTACTTTTTGGAATTATTCATAATGGAAAGTCAATTTGAAATTTTATTTACAACCAATAGCCATGAGTTTTATTTATTTATTTTTCAAATGTCCTATCTATTTCCAAGTGGCCTCTTGCATGAAGCCTTAAAGCTAAGTGTTGAATGGCCTTGACAAATGGCTATGCAAATCTACCATATGTCTTCATGCATGAAAGACAAGATATACTTGTCAATATTGGAGCCAAGTGGACTAATATAATGAGACAAGTGTCAAAAGACTCTCGACACTTGTCATACATGCAACCTCCTTAATTGCCTATAGATAGGTTATGGATTAGGCATCATAATCACTCAATTTTAACCAAGAATCCATCTTGCTAATCATTACTTTTCTTCCTACAATATTCTTTAATTTATGTAACAATTACAGAAAATACCTTCATCTTCTCTTCTTTCTGGGCAACTGTTTTTTGCAAATTTTAAGCTTCCAGCCACGAGTGCACGTGTTTGGAGGTGCTGTGGAACCTTGGGGAGCGACCGGCCTTAACGATTTGCACCTAGTCGGGCTGAAATCTCTTTCAAGGCAGTGGCATGCCACGACACAGTATTTTTGATAAATTGTTTTCTTTCCTTCTTGTTCTTAGTCAATATTATCTACTCATTTTTCTTACAATTTGACAGCGATTTCATATATAATATTGACTAATGTCCACCATTTTGAACAAAATATTTCCTGATCTGTCAAAACTTGAGCCCTTAGATGAAAATAATTATAGCGTTGGTCCCAGAAACTTTTAATTTTCTTTGAACAATTAGAAGTTGATTATGTGTTGTTTAACGGTCCTCCTACTGATATTATTGCTGATAGTTCTAATGCTGCTAATATTATTATTGCTGATGCTGCTACTAAGAATAAATTTGAAAAGGATAATAAAACAGTAAGAGGGCATATGCTTAACCATATGACTAACTCTCTATTTGATTTGTTAATAAATTATAAATCTGCCAAAGTCATATGGGACAGTTTGGAGAAGAAATATGGTGCTGATGACGCGGGAAAAAAGAAGTGTGTCGTTGGAAAGTGGATCAAGTTTTAGATGGTTGATGATAAGCCAATCATGGAACATGTTCACGAGTATGAGAACTTAACTGCTGATGTTTTGAACGAGGGCATGGAGATGTGTGAGATTCTTCAGGCTAATGTTTTGCTTGAAAAATTTCCACCTTCCTGGAGTGATTACAGGAATCAACTAAAACACAAGAAGAAAAACTTAACTCTTCAAGAACTAATCAGTCACATGAGGACTGAGGAAGCAAACCGTCTCAAAGATAAGGAGTCTGAACGGCTTAAGGATAAGATGAAATCTCTCTCTCTTAATTCTTCTAAAGCTAATCTTGTGGAATCTTCTAGTACTTTTGTGAAAGACATGTTTAAAGGAAAACAGAAGAAAAGCCATTTAGAAGGAAAACAGAAGAATCAATCACATGTTTAAAGGACATGTGAAGAAGAATAATTACTTCAATAAGCCGAAGGGCCATATTCAAAAGTCGAAAGGACCTTGCTATGTCTGCGGCAAAATTGGTCACAAGGCTTTTCAGTAGAGCCGTCAATATGGGCTTGGCCCGTTGGGCCGACCCAGCCCAGCCCGTGATTTAGCAGGGCTGGGCTAGAATTTTTTGAGCCCATTTAAAAACGAGGCTTTTAAGCCAGCCCCGAGTAGGCCCGTGGCCCGTGAGGCTTGACTGAGGCTGGGTTGGGCCGACCCGTGGGCCTAATAAAAATACGTATTTAAAATATATAAAATATAAAAAGTATGACACAAAAATAACAAGTAGAGTATCCCAAGGTTAAAGTTTATTAAGCTCATCATATTAAAAGATCAAAGTCTTAAAACGTTAATTAGTTTTAAAAATTTGTAATTATTCTTACTATTTAACTAATTAATATTGCAAACGAATTGTAGATGTAGATGAAAGTGAAGATGTTAAGACAACCTTCTCACAAGCGGATTCAAATGTATTTGATGAAGATAATGTGTTGGATATCCCATAAGTGTCATGGACGTTTTCTTGAATAGTTTGTTTTGAGTTTTGACTTTTAGTGAATGAAATAATCTTGTCTTTTATTTTTTTTAGTGTTTATTACTCCCTCCGTTCCAATTTATGTGAACCTATTTGACTGGACACGAGTTTAAGAAAAAAAGAAGACTTTTGAAATTTGTGGTTCTAAACAAGTCAAAAAAGAGTCCAGAGTATTTGTGTTGTTATAAAAGTTTCTCATTAAGGGTAAAATTGAAAGTTTAAGCAAATTATTTCCAAATTAAGAAAGGGGTCATTCTTTTTGAAACGGACCAAAAAGAAAACAGGTTTACATAAACTGGAACGGACGGAGTATAATATATTGAAACAATATAAAAAGTTATAAAGCTTTGTGAAACTTTTCCAATAAGATTTTTTTAACTTTTAAATATTTATCTTTTTTTAGGTTAGAACTTAAAGAAAAAATATAAAAATATATTTAAAAAAATGATGGGCCGGCCCGTGGGGGCCCGTAGCCCACATAGGGCTGGGGTGGGCTGACCATTATAAGGCCCATCAAAATGGTGGGCTAGCCAGCCCAGCCCGTCAATTGCTAAAGCCCACGTGGGCTGGGCTGGGCTAGCCCGACCTCGCCCATATTGACAGCTCTACTTTTCAGTGCAACCAGAAACAAGGACAAAGTTCAAAGAACGGAGGAAAAGCACTAGTGCCAACCTTACTGAGGGTGGTGATGTCATTGCTGCTGTGGTTGTTGAGGCAAACATGGTGGCTAACAAGACTGACCGGATATTGGACACAGGCGCTTCAAGGCATCTTTGCGCCAACAAAGAGCTGTTTCACGACTTTGAGGAATCTGCTGATGGCGAGTGTGTCTACATGGGTAACTCCACTACAGCTGGAGTTATGGGTAAAGGAAAAACTCTTCTTAAATCAACTTCTGGAAAAACTTTAGCTTTGAACAATGTTCTGTATGTACCCTCCCTTCGTAGAAACTTAGTTTCTGGTGCGCTTCTCAACAAGGTAAGTCTTAAACTTATTTTTGAATCTGATAAAGTTGTTATTTCTTGTGGGGGAGACTTTGTTGGGAAGGGTTACCTTAGTGGGAGTTTATTTGTACTGAACATCGCTCAAGAGATTGCTAATGATGCTAGTACTTTCAATTCTGCTTATATTGCTGAGTCTATTGATTTGTGGCATGGTAGACTAGGTCATGTTAATATTGCTTCTATTAAAAGACTTAGAAAAATAAAATTAATTCCTACAGTTAATGTTGATTATTTTTCTAAGTGTCCTGTTTGTGTAGAAGCAAAACATACCAAAAAGCCTTTTAAGAATATAACTAGTAGAAAAATAGAATTGCTTGAACTAGTACATTGAGACTTAGCAGATTTCAAGAACACTGTTAGTAAAGGTGGAAAGAAATACTACATCACCTTTGTAGATGAATTTTCTAGATACACTAAGGTATATCTTCTTAAGTTAAAAGATAAGGCTGAAAGCATTTTTTAAAATACAAGGTAGAAGTAGAGAATCAATTAGATAGAAAAATCAAGAGACTTAGGTCTGACAGGGGTGGTGAATATAGTACTAATACTCTAGAAGCCTTTTGTGAGGAAAATGGTATTATACATGAGATTAGTGCTCCCTATACTCACCAACAAAATGGTGTAGCCGAACGAAAAAATAGAACCCTTAAGAAAATAATGAATTCTATGCTTTTGAGTTCGGGGTTATCTGATAATATGTGGGGGGAAGTTGTTTTATCTGCATGCTATGTTCTTAATAAAGTCCCTCATAAGAAGTTAGATAAAACTCCATATGAGTTATGGAAAGGGTTTGCCCCCAACTTAAAATTTTTGAAAGTGTGGGGATGTTTGGCTAAGGTTGGTCTACCTGAATTTTAACCAAGTAACTGTTGGACCCAAGACTTTTAATGTTATTTTCATTGGTTATGCTCAAAATAGTGCTGCATATAGATTTATGTCTTTGAATGATAGTTCTATTTGTGAATTAGAGATGCAGAATTTTTTGAGCATGTTTTTCCATTGAAATATAATGTGCCTAGTGATGTGACTAATAATGCTTCTACATTTATGCCTGTTAATTCTCATATTGTGCCTTCTTCTAGTATTATTGCTAATGAGCATGAATATAAC